CTTTAAATAAACGTTGTCAATGTTACATTCACGCGAACGTCCGAACAGTACCGATTAGAATTGATTTTACATGTGATACGTTCGCTAACAATGTTAGCGGGAAACAACGAAATAACGCATTCACCTTCAGTAAGTACGCTAGCGTTGCGCTACACAGCAACACCAGTAACGAGAACATGTTCGCGTATTATACTGCATGGCTGAACGCAAAATCGGGACTTTTGGCTGACTTGTCGGGACGGCGGGACAAGACGCTAAAAAGCGGGTCGTATGGTAAGCCTAAACATGAGGCATCAATGTAATGGAGATTCGAGAGGAAGCATTTATTGACATGAATGAATTACATACGATGAGACTTGTAATCGCTTGGTGAAATGCCACAGACCAAAAAATGATAAAAGTAAATGAAAACTTGATTTGATAAACTGCGCCAGGTATAGCTGCAGCCTGCGGGACAGGAGTTTGCATGGACTTCAACATAATTTCTAGGCTGAAACGTTCCTTCAAATAAGAGGTCTTTTTTGAGTTCCATGGAGACACCGGAACAGGTTAGTTTAGCAAATTCGATCGATAATTTTGTTCTTGTCCCTTGCTTAGAGAACGTACCGTAAAACCGGCTAACTTCGGATGCCTTGTAACTTCGGATGAAATTTTCAATCATTCATATCTCAACTAAATTTCGTCGTATTGCGCTTCTGTCGGTTTCTATAGTAAGGCCTTACATATCTGAATCTGCCGTAGCCTCCAATCGCTCGATTTGATTTTTTATCATTCAAAAAATCATATTTTACCAAAAAAATGACACCGTTTTTTCGAGCGGCTCAAATCGTGACTTCTACAGACGCTACCTTCGTCAAATCACCGCCAAGCGCTAGAGAGCGTACACAATGTATACAAAAAAATACAGTGATCACAAGGTGTCGTACGAGATTCGAGTGAAATCGATTATTTTGATTTAAAAATTACATCAAAATATCGACGTTTTGATGATTACGTACAGCGTGACGTCAACGACGCAAATCCCGTTCTCTCTCTTCGTAGCCGACGTCACTTTGCGTAGCTCGTGCGTTACTCGCTGCGACATTTGAACGCCAGACATCGCGGCGCCCAGTTTTGTGAAATTTAAAAATTATGCTTATCCATGATCCTAGTCACTAAATCCTACAAAAACATCACTATCGTCTCAGTCATATGTTGTTTATTTAAAAATATGGGTATGCATACGCTTAATGCATATGAAATTTGTCGATTTTTGTTTTTGCATACTTCCTCCGACACCGATAGATACCGTAGCAATTGGTAATACGTTAGGCCTGAAACCTGTATCTATACGATCATAATGATTAGATATGTCTGTTTACGATCGGAAGATGATAATAATATCTTTAACAGGTGAGCGTAGAACTCTACATACATGCACACAGCAGGAGGTTGGACCACATACAGGTGAGGCGCAAAATGAAAAAAAGTGGCAAAGTTTCTTTTTGCCGTTTTTATCCGTTTATTGTCATTTGACTTTATTAAGTGAAACGAAAGCGAGGATCGAAAGTCACACCGGGCAGGAACCTCTGCCGAGCCGATCAACGGGGAGCTCTGAGAACATGAGAAAATATGAAAAGTGATAATCAAGACGAAACCTGCTCTGCTTGTGGATTATGGAATGATCCAAATGGAAGTACGGAAATTGAGGATGAATGGGTCGGTTGCGAAAGCTGCAGCGAAACACATTGGTTCCACAAGAACTGTTGCAAAGACCCGTCTAACCCATGTGGAAATGATTACAATTCTTGATTTTGCCAGCGTTTCCTTCAATTCATCTGTTTATTTTTAACTGTCGAATTTTTGTTCATACCTTACTTGTTCCATATTGCATTTTGATTTCAATTTTTACTTTTGCCAGTGTTTCATTCGATTCATCCGTTTATTTTTAATTGTCTAATTTTTGTTCATTCTTTACTTGTTCCATATTGCATTTCAATTTCAACCTACACCAGTGTTAGGTACTTTCAATTCTTCCGTTTTTTTTTTTTTTGTTAATCCTTTTCTTGCATTGAAAATAAACGATCATAAAAGAACGAACTAGCATTTTGCAATAAATTAGGAGTAGTTAGTGAAATATATACGAGTTATAATAAAGGACACAAGAATAAATAGTTAAGCTTCGCGAAGCGGCAAGAGTAACGTCACGTAGTAACGTCACGTACAAACGTCAGTATTCAACACGCAAGACAGGTCGTGGCGGCGTAAGGTCTATTCAGCGACGTTGTCACGCGTCATTGCTTACGCAGACATTTCTCTCTCACGACGAGTTGACGCAAAGAGAAAAGTGGCCATCCGAAGTTAGATAATTTTAGAATAGACGAATAAAGACAATAATTTCAATGAAAAAAGGCTTTGATGGATATGGAACCGACTTTATCAAGACGAGAATAGCCACAATGTATTATATTCCAAATTTGGCTTCAGTTGAACAACATGCGGCGGAGATATTGTTCAAAATATAGTGAAATCATCCGAAGTTAGCCGGTTTTACGGTATATAAGGACAGACCATCACTGTGAATTCTGCAGTAACCAACATCTACTCACCGGCAAGTCATTGAAAGAACATAATAGCCTATGTACTGTACAGATTTTAATATACATATATAGCGACAATATAAAAAGGACTAGTTACAGAATCAGAAAAAAACTGGTAAGCGTTATTTCACTTGAAAATATATTTACAGTAATATATATGTCCGGCACAGAGATCGAGCATATTTTACCCTCCATTTGTTTACTGGCATTTCTAATAATGCTACGATATTATTTGAAAATATTGGTATGTATACAAACCACTGCAGCGTTTGCCGAATGCAACGACCAAAATATCCATAGCATACTATTCAAATGCACAGAATGCTATATTTGCCTTTAACCTAATTCAATTTACGCCGACGAGTTTTCAGTGCTACGCGAAATTTCATTATGTCAAGTTAATAACTATACTATAGTCACTGAATTTGAAACAGTCAATTTTCAATCTTCTCCGATAAAAAAGACAACACATACTCCTCTACTCGAGAAAATATGATTCAGATAAAACGAGGCGATTGCACAAAGCATCGGCGTAGTCACAGCATCGATCATATGTGTGCCTCTTTGTTTATTTTCCTTGTATTTACGTATTTTCCCGATTCAAAAAACCTTTATGGTCGTTATATATATATATTAATTATTTTTCAGTCCTAATAAATATATTGGAAACTTGGCGCACTCAATAAATGCATTCATTCATTGACATCATTTAATCACAATTAGAATAAAGTAAAACTAAATAGAATCAGATTCGAAAAATATATATATTCGAAATATGCATCCCCACTTTGCTCTCATTGACTGGCTGACGTATGGCACTCTACCGGTGATATACTATATCAGACATGTCTCGCGTGCACGTGTGAAATGTATTGACAGAATAATTTGATATATCTCGCACTGCTTCTGGTTTCAGTCGGATTTCATACTACCGTGTTTTCTCAAGAAAAGACCTACTCTGAAAATAAGATCTAGCCTGATTTTTAAAAAACGATTTTAAAATAAGCCCTCCCCTTAAAACAAGACATAGTCAATAACGAGATTTTTTTTTTACCTAGTCGGATAGCAAGAAATCTCTCCTAGACGTTTTAAATGATCATAATCTATGTTTTGCAGTTATTTTGAATAAAAACTGTTATTTATAAGTAAATGTATATGGGTTTCCATATTTTTTTATATTTGAAAATATTGTAATTCTCTACTTTGTAATTTTGTTTTGATAAATTAAAATATGTGTGGCTCAACGGGCTAAGCGTTAGGAATACGCTCGCCACCGCACCTCTAATTACTCTGCGTGGGTTCGCATCCCATGCAGGGATGGTTATGTGCGAGAGGATTGCTGGACTCCTCGCCGTCGTTGGGTGGTTCACGTAACCGCTGGTCGGTTACGGCTTCCTCCACCACCAAGTCTATGCTTCCGAAAACAAACTATATAACTAATCCCATACCCGACTTGGAATGGTAACCGGACGAGAGGCCGTGGTTCGCCATATGGATAAGCCGTCTTATCGGCTTTCCTCTCCCCCGGGATAAATATGTATATCCTATCCTATAAGACATCCCCGAAAAAAAGCCCTAGTGTTCTTTTTCGGAAGAAAGTTGAAATAAGACCCAGTCTTATTTTTGGGGAAACACGATAGTTGTTCAAGTTGGGCAGGACCGAGTTATAAATTCTCGACTTTGTTCGTTCTGACCTTACTGGAGTAACAGGTCAAAATCAAGATTGACGAGCCAGGCGAAATAACAATGCACTCGAATCAACCCACGCTTCGTAATTTGGTCATGTCAATGACCACTTCACAGCAGGTCTGCTGGATCAGAATCTAGCATATTGTCGCGATAATAGAAGTCAAAATTTTCTTCCGCAGAAACTAAAAAGCAGTAGACTAAGAGTGCCCAACAACAGTTTTAGAAGGCTCGCACACGCCAAAATCTTTATATCAACATTTGACGCCGGGAGTTAGAAGCTCTAGACTGGAGTTTAATCAACCTGCAGTGCGATTCAATTTTCATCATCCCAGTGTCGGCAGTCGATTTTAATTACCCTGGATTCTAGTCCTGCAGCAGTCCAGTGGACATAGCGCTGTGACGCCGCCTTCGTATTTGAGACATTTTGTTTCGAGACGGTGGAAAACTCGGGTGCAAAGCACGCTTAGCCCGTTGAGCCACACCGCCGTTAGACAGTTATTTTGTTTTCGACGCATGGACTTGATGGCGGAAGAAGCAGTAACCGTCCAGAAGTCACGTGAAAACCCTACGCCGGCTAGGAGTCTAGCAATCCTCTGCAAATTATTATCCAGCACAGGATTTAAACCCAAGCAGGGTAACCAGTGGTGCACGGTGGCAAGCGTATTCCCAACGCGATGCGTGAGCACGGTGCGCCACACCTCAGCCGTTAATCAATAGAAAGTTTTAGGCGTCTTTGATTCCTTATTAAAGTGTATTGCGCAATAAAATGCAAATTTTTACTTGAGATTATTCCTTGTAAACACAGAGATACTAACTAGAAGCTTATTTTCATATCCTTTCCGACAGCAACTGATAGAGAATTTACCCCCACCCCATATCACATGTTAGTAGCTGCTTATTAATTATAATTATTTTCTAAAAAGCCAATCTGTCATTACACTGAGAGAAGAATTTCCTTGAGATTTAGATCCAACCAATGTTTCCAGTTTGCTCTGAAGCTAAAGCAAATTAATGGGTTAAGTCGTCAATTAAGTCTGCATTCAGGATTCAACAAAAATGTTAGTCGATATAGTTTTGGAGTAAAAACGTCTAACGTGGAATTGGCGGAGATGGAGCCATCATATAAGAATTATGTTGATCAAGTGGCCTTATAACTGGGCGGAAGAACAAGCTGGATCCTCTACTCGACAACCCCTGTAAATGAAAAAAACTACATTTCACAACCAAAAATCCAATTAGCATGAGCTGGTGTCACCGATGATATGGCCAACACTAATTATACTGTATGTATTGCTAAATATATATTATCTTATATTATATATCACATATTACTTGATCTGCAATGTACAGTGTGCACCCATCGATTCATTACCAATAATGCAGGAATCACAAAAGATGGAGACAAACAATACACAGAATCTCGATTTAACATTCCAGGAGTTGTAATGCATGAGGAAATTGCAATCATTATGAAAAAGGTGGTCTCTTATAACTGGGGGTTTAATTGTAAATTGAAAAATATCTTGCCCTTTGTCTCAAATCTTTGATACAGCTCAGCCATCCATCATAGACATCCATATGCGGCGGATTGCCAGCTGCTAACCTACTTCCACTTACAACAACCATTGTTGATGTCAATGTGAGAGGATAAGTGACTACACTTGCAACGTAACTTGTCACAGCTTGGCTGTATTGTCGAAGCTCACCCAGATCGCTCTGAATTCAACATGAGCATGTTTAAAATGAAACGTTCAGCTTTCACTGGTGGAATGAGGACAAAACTTGAACCTTTTAAACTTGGTTTCCAGAAATTTATCTTTTCTGTGTGTATTGCTTTATTTTTGCAAATGAATTAAAATCTATCTATTTGCTCAAAGTCAGTCTCTTATCTCACTGCGCAACCGAATTCGGCCACTTACATGACCAAATGAAACAACCAACTTCAAAAAAAAAATAACTGGCTTTATGTGTTATTGTTTCATTAATAATATTTGGCTGTACGTACCTGGTCATTTAGGACATAAGTGTTAAGAATATGAGATAATATGTTACAAATCCATATCTGTGTTATCTCCAGTACTAATCTTGGTAGCAACCCTCTAAAGATGATAACACAAATAAAGAGGTTAATTATCAGGAGGCGTAAATAAAAAAAGACAGACAAATATGAAACTTACACAAAAAAGCCCATTATCCCATCTTCATTGTAAATTTCTTTTATTGAAGAGAAAAAACTAGAATAGTAAGTTTCATGCCCGACAAATTGTGCCATGCTTCTTAAAGCAATCACTAGAATTAAAAAAAATGATGTTAAATTCCTAAATAGACCTCTTTTCGAAATCCAAAACAAAATTCTTACCATGGAATGGGTGTGAAACAATAATAGCACAACATTTAGCAGTCATTTCCTTGCATGTCTGCAAAACAAAAACAAAATGGAAAGTTGAAATGGAGGAACTTAAGAGTCAGAATATTCACAGAATGTAACTGATCATAATCCTACTAAGACAAACTAACTATGCAGTTGACGCATGATACAAACTTGGTTGGGGACAATTTGTAAGTTGATATACTGGAATAACTTTAGTTCATACTTGATAGCCGCTATTATCATCGACAGAGCACCTGAACCACAAAATAATTTTAACAATATAAGGTTGGAAAGCAATCCCCATTTTCTCCAAATTTTGTGTTTCTGCTTCTCAACATAAATATTTGTTGTTTGTTCTGAGCACCTCAGGAATTAAATTAAATAAATGCGCAGCATAACTAAAAAAGAAACTGTCCCACATTCCCACTAGATAGAAAAGTCTATCCAAATGCATCCACTTATTTCCGTGAGCAAATATATATATATGGAGTAGCAATACCAAGCTTTCCATTATGAAAAAAAAAACAATGTACTGCAATTTAATTAAGATGTAATGAGGAAATAAAAACACAACAAAATTGAACTACTGGGGATATTGTATTATGGAATTTGCAGCTATTGACAATGTTGTTATGTATGTGACAAACAAAATAGGCTTGCACGTAATTGACAAAAATCAATTCCGTAATTACGGCCAAATCGATTACGTAATGACCCCGTAATTGCGATATTTTTTTCACGCATTTAAACCTATCATAACAACCAATTTAATCCACTTCTATTCCGAATGGGACATCGAAGTTTGGTTTTCATATTCCCGGCAGTACTACACGCCGGCGACAGATGTTAAAGACAAATATCAAGGAGTGAATTCAAAATAATTTTATTCTGATTTTTATCTTTTGTATTAGCTTTGATTTTTTTTATCCACTTTATCACCAAATTTTATGCGATCAATTTTATCATTACCAACACTGGTAATATATTTAAGAAACGATAGTTCACTTTTTTAAAATCGTATTAACGTATTAATACGACTTTCGTATTAAATAAAAATTCCGGGTTGCTAATTTATTAATCAACCACAAGCGTATTGCGTTTGATTATACTTTCGCTTGCCTCGCGACGAAGACTTGTTATTTCAACGTTTTTTACAATATCCGACTTTACTACTTAGTTAGCATTTTATAATAATTATTGATGCCGACTTATTGACGATATTCCGAATTCCATGCTTCATTTTACATTAAATCATTTCGCGGCCTAAAAGTTACAGTCGACGATAAATCAAAATAAGTTGCCGCGACCAATAATTACGACTTTATGTAATTCGTAACTTCGCTTCCGTAACTCAAAATAATTCCGTAATTCCGTAAATTACGTGCAAGCCCACTGAAACAATATAATCAGGTAGGATTTAATGCTGCTCTACGTCTGTTCTTTCACAATTCACACATGCAATTAAATTTTAAAAAAATCTAAATACAGTTTGGAAAGATTTGTTTTCCCAATGTGATGGACTACAAAGAGGGCTGATTGAAAACAAAATTTATACACTTGAATGTTAAATCCATGCCTAGAGGAGCCTGAAATAAAAATGGAGCTTGATAGTAACGATTTTATAATTGATATGGATGAAAGCAGAGTGTTGAAGGAATTTTATCATCTTAAATGTTAATTACAACTTACGTCTATGGAGACCTTTTTCACAATTTTATTTACTCCTTCATTGGTAAATGGTTCTGATTCACAGCACTGGTCCAGTTGCTAAAAAGAAAAAATAAAGTCTTCACTACATATCCAAATTGCAGAAATGAGAGAATAAATTAAGATAAACAAAGTCCTTTGCAACCTTGACCATTGCCATATGAGATATAGACATTGACAAGTTTGCCATCAATCTTGGTTGCAATCCTCTGTACAGTCCAAATAAGCCATCTGTAGTTTTGATATGCTTCACTATAAAAATATAAAATATAGTGACAGCAAAAAGGTTAAAATACTTGAGGTAACTATTGCCAAACGCACTCTATAATCAGATCACACGCACATATAAACCACATTAATGGGCGGGCGGCTATTCAAACAGGCACTTAATCAAGATTGGGCGGTAAAACGAGCATATACGGTATTTCAACCATTTTTATAGTTTTAAAACAAGTTCTAAATGCGGGCACTTGAGAAATCACAATTGCAAATAGTTTGTACTGAACCTGCAATATTCACGACAGTGCTATTGCATCTGTTTCCTTTTGCAAATATCCAATAGCAAGCAAATAGGACATGCAAAATAGACTATGAATGGCGTCTGGCAAAGGGAGCAGAGCAACATGCAATGCTTTAATATATTGGATGTGCAATTATTAACTCTTCAAATCTAAGCACGCATCATGGCATTACTAATTTTCTTAATTTGAAGGAAGAAATTGCGTCACAAGTTTGGGAACTTCTGAAATATGCGTAATATCTTAAGAACATATTATTAAAATAGTCAGTCAGTGGTTTATTTTTTCACATAGGCTACCGAAAATACAAAGTGTACAAACAAAGCGAGGTAAAAATAAAAGAAAAAGGTATATATCAGCATGAATGAAGACACAATAAACCAGTAATGATGATCAAGTAGCATCTATGAGGGAGTCTAACATTGAATCATACTAAGATAAAAAAAAAAGAAGGACGAACAATATTTACTAACAGAAGCCGGCCTTCGAAGTATGTTTGAGCTACATTTATATTAAAATATAACAATCGACAATTTACCTTCCTCTTTTTGACTGATTTGAGAACCAGTATTCAAGGCTTTCAAGAGTCAAAGAATAGATAAATATTGTTCTCGATATTTTTGGGCCACATTTTCCAGTTCTGCCACAATAGACCAATTCTCTATTAATAATAATCAATGCCTTTTAAATAGTATATTCTGCTGTTATTTGGTGTCTGAACCCTGTATCATATGTTATCAATCCGAATAGACTATGAGTAATTATAAGTGCCAACTAACAGCGATAACATATTCAAAACATTATCAAAAGCCTAGGTGTGATAAAATGTGTTAAAGTAATAAATGATGGAATCAAGAAGATACGATGCGTTGACCATAAATTGGGTTGATCGTTTTCACGCAATTTTCACGAATTCCGGCCGTCGTCGGGTGCGGACGTGTCTGCTTGAAAAGACTAGAGAATGCTACGCGGTGTATGTTTCGGTATTTGTATCGCATAATATCAACATGAGCAAAGCCCATCCACCGGAATTAAAGAAGTTTATGGATAAAAGATTGGATTTAAAGTTAAATGGTGAATGATCTGTTACGAATATATTGCGAGGTTTCGATCCTTTCATGAATCTAGTTGTGGATGATGGACCACTGCACCTGTTGGAATGGTGGTCGTTCGTGGAAATTCGATATTAATGTTGGAAGCATTAGAACAAATACAATGATTCTGCCCTGGGATAGTGGATTTCATTTTCTAAAATATGGTAGACCAGAAAATTCTTAAGATAGGACTCTTTCAATTCTTGATAATTTCAATTTCAGTGCAAGCAGGGCTGGAGAGCTGGTTGGAAATCACATTGGCTCCATCTCACATTATATTCAAACTGTGGCCCCAGTTCAGGCGCTTCATTTTTCTATGTTCAGATGACTCTTTAACATTAAACAAGGATCCACTGAAAGGCACTGAATAGCTTTCCAGTTCGCCTAAGATTTTAACATAGTTTGTTATAAACACCACACCATCACAGCACTATTTTTTTAGTTGGTCAACACCCAAAAGCACCTCTTTCAACAATTTTTATCAGTCATTTAATGTTCGAACAAAGTCTTCATTCAAGCGACCTGTTTATTCTAATCACAATTTTCCTTTACCATTTGCAGTGTTATTCCTACAATCACTTCATTTTCTTGTTACACATAAAAACAATGTTTTTTATCTGTATGACCCCTCTTTAAAATAAACTCATTGTTGTCACTGTTATTCACAAATTTATTTATTTGAAGTTATTGCCCAATTCTGTATCGTGTATTTTTGTTTTATTGTGTTATTTGACTGTTTTTGGTGGACGGGCGCGTATTTTCACGTTTTTAACTTTTATTTAAGTTATGCCCGTCCTCCAGGTCCTCTGTGTTTGTTCGTTTGTTATTGTTTTTGTTTTATACCAGAGCGACCGAAATAAAATTGATTGATTGAAAGAGTTGTTATGTTATGAGATTGGCCTACTGTGTCAGTATAAGTAAATATTTCTAAATCACAGAGAGCTGCACGTAAAGTTGTGCAGGCGATGGTCAGTGCTTAAAATTTATCACAAGTAAAGGAAAACCACCAGTCATGAAACGTTATATGGTGATCATCCAGTAGGCTACATAGATTGGCATACTAATATACTCACAGTACTGCAAAATGTTTGGGTATTGCAATTGTTTTCTAAAAAAAACATTTCTTCTTATCACAGGAGCAAGAGGTTCATGACCAATCTGAAAACATTACCAAAAGTCATGCATTTGAATCATATACACTCTCACAAAAATATCAATGGCATATGAGATAGAAAAAAAAACATTTGAATTGTTGCAATAAAAAATTTCTCGTCTATCTTGTTATGCAGCGCATATTTAATATATACTGCTCAATTCGATGGCTTTGTATTATACTGTTATAACTAATTATTTCTATAAATATGATGTAATGAAGATTGCGAGAGAGTATATTTCATGTCTGCTGAGCTACAGTAAGGTAAGCATCATTGTAATAATCTGCATTCTGACGCAAGAATCTGAGTGGGGCTATACAGTCGAGAAAATTTAACCAGACTCTGAGCCATTTAAAAAACCTCATGCTCAGAGTTGACAAAATATTGACCCCCCCCGGAATTACTGTACTCCATTTTCGAGAAAATTGAATTTTAATAACAAAAAGTATTGGCGAATGGCGAGGGCAAGATAGTCCAAAAAGAGTTCTATTATTGCCAAACCCAAATGAAAGATAAATAAAATAATCTACCTGAATGAGTAATTTACAATATGACATTGGATGAGTGACAGTTGTCATGAATGCACCTGATAGAAGGGTTTGATAATCGATAAAACTCATGATGGCTAGTTGAATTATATCACTATGCTAAAACCAGAAAAGAATTATCGGTACCGGTAATTCTGTAGAAGTTTTTTTTTTTTTTTTTAAATATGTGTTATTACAAGAATACAATAAAGTTCATCACATTACACATCACCATCCAATTTAATCCCCATCATCATTGTATGTTCCATTAATTCAGCATCAGTATCATCCAATTTTCTTAAATACAAATTATCCAGTTGTTTAATATTATCAAATATTTAAGATATTATAGTCATAAATGTATGATAGTTACATAAAAAACAAAAATGACAATTAGCAAATGAATAATTCACACTATTAGTAATAAATGAAGTTAAAACAATCTTATCTTACAACTATCAATACCTAGTGCTGATGTATTTATGTCAAAAACATTGGCATAATATACCGATATTTAATATACCGTACGGTATTAACCAGGGCTGGGGAGCCGGAGCTGGAGTCGGAGCCTGGAGCCATGGAGCCGTTACATTTTGATGGAGCCGGAGTCGGAGTTGGAGCCAAGCTTTCCATAACAGATGGAGCTGGAGCCGGAGCTGGAGCTACCAAAAATTTAGTGGCTCCAGGCTCCAGCTCCTAAATATCTCATTTTTTTGTTTTTCAAATTTATAATTTTTTTCTGATAGCGTTACAAATGATAAAATCTTTTCTGTTCAGCTTATAATTCATTTTAAAAATTTTAATTCCTAATATTTTTTAAAAAGTTTCCAGTTATTCTGTATGTTTGAAAGTTTAGTATCAAAATTTGAAGCGGTTCGCTTTTATCCAAATTTTGATTCTCATTTCCACTAAGCTGCAATTTTTCATGATTGCGGTCAAGCTCAAAAACCCTAATGGCCAGGGATTTTCGAAGAAGTGATTTTGGAATTTCCATGTAACATATTATGATTTTTTCGTGGCGTTGAATATCCAATCCATTTCAAATGTCTTCAATTCTGTTCAACTTATCTCGAGATTGAGTCGTTTTACGACAAAAGAAAGGTTTAACTACTCCAAAATGCACGGCAGCAGTCACCTATCATAAAAATGTATGGCAAAGTGCCCCATTATATCTTGTTTTGATCCATAACATAGCATGTTCTGGAGAAAAGTCTCATCAATTTTCGTTGTTATTTTTTGAATATATAAAAAGTATATCACGAGTAAGATTGATTGCGTTTAGATTTATTTTAGTGACTGTATAATTTTCAAAGTCAACCGGTAAATAATATGTCGTAGGCAAAAAAAATAATGAGATTAACAAGGCATTTTTTTTAGCTGTTGGGAGTCTCCTAGAACAAAGTTTATAGTGTTTTCCGTTTCATTTTAGTATCTTATAATAACTCTCCAATGTGGAAATTCGGCTTGCGAATTGACTTCTCTATTTATCTTCAACATCTCATCGCTGATAATTATGAAAACGCCTCGATTCTAGAACCAACTTTTGGCCTGATTTGGGAGAAGGGGACGGCATCTAATTGGGTGACGATGGTAATTTCCATTATTTTGGGTCTGCTCATTCAATTTGTACCATAAAATACTGCCTCCCCGTTAGGCCAGTTTAAATTATCATGAGTTGAAGGGCTATTGCCGTTACTATCACATGTGCGTTGCATTTCGTGAAAAGCGTCAATTGTTTTCGTCGCCATAAACATTAGGCCATAACATCTTTTATTTCAGTGTTTATTTTTCCCTTAATCACAATTTCTCAAGACATATGTTTTGTGTCACGCACCATATTTGTGAGAAAACGAGTTATTACATAATCATCGGTGATGAAATTCTAAGATAAATAAAGAAGTCAATACGCAAACCAAATTTTCCTGATTAAAAAGCGACATTATGAAATACTAAAAATAAAACAGAAAACACCATAAGTTTTGCTTTAGAATGGCCCACGACAGATTGTATTTGGCCGGCATGATTGCCAGTTATGTTGAACACAATTAAATTAAAATAAAAAGACAATTATTATGGGTTAAATATTATGTGGTAGAAAAAGTCATTATGAGCTATTTTACCGAATGCGCAAACGCTGCGACCATTCCAGAAGCCGATTTTCCTTCCCGTCTTTTTGTGGGGTTATATGTAAAACCCTTATATGCTGGGTATACCGATTCGCCCGGAAATACAGCATATAATAACTCTCAGTGGATTCACAAGTTACATGCAGGAACAAAAAGGAATTAACATGACACCGACTTGAAGGGTGTTTACAGCCTAAATTACATGCCACACTTAGAAAACAATTAGCAAAATGCGTTATTGGGCTGCACTACTGATAATGGCTATGGAGCCGGAGCTGGAGCCAGCTCCGGCATAAAAAAATGAAGCTCCGGAGCCGGAGTTGGAGCTATAGATTGAATACCCTGCGACTCCGGAGCTGGAGTCGGAGCCATCATGATTTCGAACCAGCTCCCCAGCCCTGGTATTAACATATTTGTTGTCATTCCTATGCCTTTCCAAACTAAGTCTGTGTTTGAACCCTTTTAATTTTTTCTTTCACCCTTGTTACATCTGGAGTGACTCCTTGAAATATAACATCATTCGTTCCATTCATACTTTAAACCTAACAGTAGACAGGAGCAATATCAAAGCATCTATTTGAGAAGAAGTAGCATTTTACAGTTTCACTAAAAGACCGTGGACAACAATCAGACAGTTAACAGCCTGTGAACTTGTGAAGTTAGCAGAAAATCACGAAATTGGAGCTGACAGAATCGCAGAAAATTCCTACACTTAAAAAAACGTTCCCAATCATTTTGTGCTAGGGAGTGGATATTTACCGATAGCAGTTAAAGTAAAACAATTAGTCATAAAACTATTCATCTTTTTAATATAAGAAATAACACGCTAAAACAACTGTAACAGTAATTCCAAGCTGTATCAAAGGGTTGTTTGAAATTGAATGAATTTCAATATTGACTCGATTTGAGGCAGATATTTCTCTGAAATCTCCAATAGAGACAGCATAACGACATATTGGGAGAAAAGAGAAACCTCATAGATTCGATTTCATCATGACAGAATAGTGGCAGCACGTTTTGAACTGGCCATATATAATACCAAACATAGCGTATTTTTCGGTAATTTTTGGAAAGTATATATATAAATGATAGTTAAAATTGGTTTTGTACTTCCACTAAACTCCATAAAAAATTGAACAATTATCTTTTTTAGTTGCTAATACACCGATATTAAACGTCTAATAAATTTAAAATGGGTATCGGTGAGATTAAAATAGGAAAAAACATTTTACGCCCCATCGTGGATTATTTTGGAAATTTCGAAAAGCCAGCATAACGACATATTGGGAGAAAAAAGAAACCTTATAGATTCGATTTCATCATGTCAGAATAATAGCAGCACGTTTTGAACTGGCCATATATGATACCAAACATAGCGTATATTTCTTTAATTTTAAGATATATATGTATCATAGTTCAAAGTAATTATGTATTCATCAAAACTTACAGAATAATTGTAAAATTAATTTTTTACTATCTAATACACCAATATTGAACGTCTAAGACATTTAAAAAGGGTATCGGAGTAAATAAAATAGCAAAAAACATTATACACCACCTCGTGCATTCTTTTGGAAATTTGGAAAAATTACAGTTTTGGATGGACGATTTCTCGAAAACCTCCAATAAAGCCAGCATAGCGATATATTGGGAGAAAAGAAGAAACCTTATAGATTCGATTTCATCACGGCAGAATAGTAGAAACACGTTTTAAACTGGCCATTTATAATACCAAACATAGCGCATATTGTTCGATATTTCCACAATTCAGATGTAAAATATTTCGAAGTGATTTTGTGTTTCATCTAAATCGATCAAATGTTATAATTTCACGTTCTCTCGTGAATAATTTCTAAAATAAATCGGAAGTGATATTAAAGATTGTCTAGCAGCGAATTATCAAAACATTCAATAAAGTAGGCGGTAGAAAAATTGACATAAATGTTATATCAATAAAAATATTTCACAGCAGCACGTTTCCATAAAGTCGTACATGATACAGAACCTATCGTTTATTGTGTGATTATAATATATTTAAACTATTTGTTGTTACAAATTTCAATGGGGTTTGTATGTTATTTTTTAATAACCGAATATTTAATAAATTGAATTCGAATATATTATTACAAATTAGGACTCCAATTCCGATGAATTTTCATGAGAATTCTTCAACGATTTTTTCCTCCCGCCCGTGGATCATTTTAAAAAACGACCCGATATCGAGACAATCGTATTGCATTGTATAGCAATGCGATGTTAGCAGTAGTCGTGTGGAATTGCTTGATAAAGACAGATGATGAGATTTGTCCATTTTAAATTAAATAGTTAGGGTGCTGTTACATTTGTTATTGTAAGATATTCTTGGTTAAATTCAAAATTTAGCGCGGTTAAGAATTTTAAAGGTAGTTATGGTCACAAATAATGTTGACAAACTGGTTACTGGAGAATACTCCAAAAAGCCGCGAGCGGAAGATACAACGGAGAAATTAAGTGAGAACAAAACACCGCATGCACCTTCAGACATCTTTGCGTCTTCAAGCAGTGAGGATGAACGCCCGACAAAAGACTCATCTCCTCACCCTCATCGGATAGAAATACATCACTCAAACTATCCTTATAAGCGAAAGTACAGCGAAGAATTTATAAAGCTTGGTTTTACGTGTATTCTTATAAATGATGAGTCACGTCTTCAATGTGTTGTTTGTTACGGTGTTCTTGCCAACGAGAGCCTGAAAGCAGTGAGATTGAAACGCCATCTTACAGCAGAGCATCCAGAATTCATTGACAAACCAATACATTTTTTTGCCGATCATAAAAAGAATTGTTAGGCGAAAAGAAAACAATGACAGACTATCTCACAAATCACAATCTTAGAAAAATCTCAAAAGGTATTGTACGAAGTGGCAAATTCAATCGCAAAAGATAAAAAACGACACACCATTGGAGAAACACTAATCAAAACTATTGCAATTAGTCAAATTATGAATGGAGACAAGGTAACTAAGTAAATGAAAAAAATACCAATGTATGTAGATACTATTCGCCGACGTATCAGCGAAATGGGTCAAGATATTAGGTGCCAACTGAT